GTTACTTGGTTGTTCTAGGGGTAGGGGGTCTTCTAATTGGCATAGGCTTGCGCGTAGTGAGGATGCGGGCTTGTGGGCGACGGAGATGCCGAAACGACTTAGCTGCTGAGAGATGGTTTCAGATATTCCATTCATATAAGGTAGAGAATAAAATTTCTGTGGCACTATATCTTCATTTGGGGGGGGGGAGGTTTTGTGCTTGATCCCGACGTCTAAGGCAATCTTTGACAAAGCTTGTCGGATATCCGTTGGCCCGGAAGAATTTGTACAAATGCGCTAGTTCTCTCTTGAGCAAACCATAATTACTGCAATAAAGGTGGGCCCGTTGGCAAAGAGTACGAACACAGCTTCTTCTATGGGCCACAGAGTGGTTACTGCTATAGTTAAGGATGATTTCTGTAGAGGATTCCTTTCGGTAGACGCTTGTTGCGAGTTTGCCATCCATGAACCTTTGTATTCCCACGTCAAGGAATGGGAGGGTATCATCTGTTGCCTCTTCGCGGGTAAATTGTATTTCTGAGAAGACCCCATTTAGACTCTGGTGCAACCGTTCGAAGTCGCAAGTCTTTATGCTGACGAATGTGTCGTCTACGTAGCGGAGCCACGTTTTTGATTTGACAGCTCGAAAAACTTCCTCTTTTAGTCTCTGTAAGACTAGTTCGGCAAGTAGCCTCGATATTGGCGAACCCATTGGGGTGCCCTTTACTTGCTGATAGCACTTGCCCTCAAATTAACAATAGTTTTTGAGATGGAGCTTAAGTACACAATCCAAACGTTAAAACTTCCCTCCCATCACCAGCAAAACCTACCGCCGCATGAGTCACGTCATCATAACCCTCCTGCCCAATCCCACCCCGTTCGTTCTAACCTCTGCCCCCAAAACCTCTAGTGCGACATTCCCAGCCCTCACTTTTCATTTAGTCTGACGACGAGCACGTGATGCTTGTTCGAAAATTCACGAGTACAACTCGATTTTCCGAAGATCTTTCTTTTCATCATATCATCTCGGAATGCAAATTACTTCACTTATCTTACTATTATTATTATCTTATCTATTATATTATATAAATATTTTGAATGATTATATTAAGAACTGTATTCTTATTGTGTAGACTCGGGTGGATGCAGTCTTTTTGCACTTTTTATTTGCGCATAAAGTACGAATACAACTCTCCGACGGGCCTACTTAGCATTAGCTCCAGCGGTTCGGGTATCCAAAAGGCAAGCGGCGACATCCTCAGTATCGGCGGCGACTACCCCGCCTCCCAGCTGAATGCCGGAGGTATTCCTGGGGCAGAGCACAATGCATCTATCAACGTTGGCATGGGCTCAGGTCGTAGTGTCGGATTCAGTCCTGGACATGTCCAACAATTTGGTGTTACCAATCCCTCGTTGTTGGCCGGTGGTAGCTCCTCTCAGTGGGGTAACTTATCCCCAGGTGGCACCCGTGGCATCGTGGAATACCTGATAAAGATTGTACTTAACACCTTGGACACACAGGTACACGTGTGTAAAGAGAAGACCGAGGAAGAGCTGCTGGAAACTCCCACAGCAGTCCTGCCGAGAATGCGAGGTGCGTAGCATGTGCAAGCAACTTTAAAAAATTCAAATCTTCTTTAATTTGCTAGATAAGATTTATATTTAACAATTGGATACCACAGTGACCCTGCTGGTTATGACGTTTTTGTTATTCTGAGGACGAGAATCAATCCGGGCCTCAGATTCTGCTATATTAGAAGGAACCTTTTAATCCCAATAGAGATAAGAAGACTAATCAATTTAATTAATTCTAGTATATATCCCTAATATAAACTGAAATTAATGAACTTTTCTGCAATACGTAATTGTAGAAAGCATGATCAGCATAATAAAACATGGTATCTCGGTTAGCTGTACTCCAGGTAGGAATACTAGCCATGGCCCTGACACGTTTCAATGATTTGTTGTTGACGTAGGCTGTAGCCCTAGTAGTTAGCTTAGTGACGGCACTAGTATCGCTCTCTTTGTGGTGTTTCCAGGTGAATTTTATAATTCGTTTGATTTATGTGTGTGGAACTGGAGCAGTTTCCGAAGAAATTTGATTTAGGAACTTAAATCCACCTTCCCAAGATCTTTCTGCCAAAGTTATTGCCTTCAAATCGCTAACGAAAACCCTACTTAATATTAATAGGTAGGTAGAACCACGTCTTTAAAGAATCACGTGAACCATATTACGTTCATGAACGCAAGATGGTCAGTAAATCAGCCTGGCTATTCAATTGAATCCATTTCAATATATGGGTGGACGATGATAGTATACCTTCTTTCAGTGATAATAACTCATCCGGTGTCACTTAACCCAGTTTCATTTCATTTGAAACTCTAAGCAATTGTCTCCATTTTATACAACATTTTCCTTTCTGTGCGGCATGAATGCCATTTTTAATTTGTTTGCGTAGGCTTTCTTTTCCATAAAAAGCTATTTGCTCCCACGAGGAGAACAGATATGGCATATGAAGTCTGGCAGGCAAAAATTGAAATTCTCTCATTGTTTAAAAATCAAACTATGTATAGCTCTGCTGGGTGTTACGCACTTAAGACCTCATTGTTTTAGTTGACCCATTTGGGAAAAACTCGCGGCGTTTGTCGGGAGTCGAACCCACATAGCAGGGGAGGCCTTTACGCAGCCAATGCTCTACAACTTGAACTAACAACGCCATGCTTTGCACCATAAAGTTAATCACACTTGGAACGATCTTGCCCGCCCAACTTTACCACTCGTATGGAATCCACCAATACGGAACAGCAAGCTGACTGCCCAAGCAAGATTTTTAGAACTGAGCAGAATGACTACTAGGCTGACTTAGTTATTTAGGGAGTTTTGGCAGATTTGCTGAATTTATTTAACCCAATTGTTTGCTAAGTTTTCCAATTTTGTCATCGGGACTACTTACGTGTTAATAAACGCAGACATATTCTCATATTTGCAGAGGCAAGCGGTATAAGCAACGAGCTCAAGATGAATAGGGACATGGAAGTGCGTGTGCCAATTCAAGAGGCAGCCGACGAAGTGGTTATGCCGGGAATCACAATTTCGCAGGAAACAGTTTCAGAGGGTTCGGACAAGGAGTCAGACTCATCTACAACGCTACCAGTTCCCAACATCGATTTACTCTCACCAAGCCTTCAGGAATCTCTCCTGGCAACGGATAAGACAAAAAACTCCTATCTTTTTCCTTCTCGGAGTAGAACGCCAATTTCCTCCGAAAATCAGAAACGAAGGGGGCCAATTCAATATGCAAAGGTACGCTGCGCCATGTTTGGCAATTATAAGTTGTCTTTCCCGAACGTGTTTCAGCCGTCTTTTGAATATCATTAATAAGACTATTAAGGTTTGCAACATAAGGATTTCGGCTTTTCAGGCTTCGAATCCCACTTACTCCATACTTTGCGTTGAGTATGGCTGGTTGATGAGGAACAGCGAATCAGAAATGAGTGGGCCTGTCTCCCCTTTATCTGTCGATATCCTTCATCTGAATAGGTGACTCGTCGCTATACGCTTGCATGCGGGGGCTCTATAGTGCTCACCTAGGCATAATTGAGCGGGCATGTCCCGTAACCTTGTCCGGGAACGCCATTTTATCCTAATAAGATAAAGTTTGCACAATAATTTATTTTGGAGGATCTGGTCTTTTGGTTCACATCAACGATAATGATCACTTGATTCACCTTAAGTCAAAATCAAAGTCGAAGAAATAAGTTAGTCAGGAGAGAGATGTTCCATGGGACTACCGCTGAAGCTATCAGTTGGTCAGTACATGGTACTTAAATGTGTTCGCATTTTGTAGTCAATCCGACGCATGCTTACTTGGTCACCAACACGAAGCTCAATGCATATGTATAAGGAGACTGTAGCTAAGGCATTATATGGGTAGTTTTGTTCAGTTTTACTGAAGGAAGCAAATTAAACACCAACTACTGCAACCGAAGTTCAATAGACGCTGATTTGGGGTCTAGTTGAATTGTTATTAATAATTTACGAGTTTACGATACACAAATAATGCTATGCTTCGGATTAAACTTAATGCGTGAGGATCAAGATATTCCAAAAAGCAGTCTTGCAAAATGCCGTTGACGTACCAAATCTTAGTTATATCTGCACATCAAATGGAGTACTACTTAAGTATC